GGGCTGAGTCCGTTCCGGGCCGGGCCTGGGCTGGGCGGGCCCCGCGGCCTGCGGGCGGGCCCGCGCCTCTGCCTCACCGCGTCCGGGAAGTGGCAGTGGGGGAGTGCGGGCTCGTTGGAGCCCCTCCGCTCCCCCGGGGCCGGTCGGTACGCAGGGTTAACGCAGCTGAAAAGCGCCTTTTCCCTAGTCAAGATGTGCAACGGGTGATGTCGTTGTCTCTGTCGTGGGGAGCTGCTGTGGAGGACTCCGCGGGCACCAGTGAAGAGTCAGGGATGTGGTTTTGTTCCTCACTGCTGTTTAAGAAAGCTGTGAGGAGCGACAAGCGCAAAGGTGCTGGGCAGAGCGGGCGAGGAGGGCCCTGGGGAGCTGTGCTTTGAGGAGCCTGGCTCGCGTTCTCGCAGCAGCAGTAGGGTCCTCGGGAAGGAAGGTGAAAGCGCTCTCCGTGTTAACATTCTCCTTGTGGGCAGCTCTGCATCTGCTTGCTGCCCTGGGCGCAGAGGACCAAGGTGGAGTGGGTGCTAGGGCTGCCTGAGAACGGCCCTGCTGGCCCCAGGCCAGGCCTTTGGGGTGGCTGCCTGGCAGGGCTTGGCTCCGAGGTGCTGAGAGCCGCTAGCTGGTTGCTGGGTGGGAAGCTCGCTGCTCCTCAGCAGCATTCCTTTCTTCGGTGGATGGCTTTATTGTTTCTGCCGTGCCCAGGAACTTGCAGATTTCTGTGTCATGTTTCACTTGTGTCAAATTAGTTTCAACATCCTACTTCAGCTCTGTCTTGCTTTCTGAAGCTGTACCCCTATTAATAAGTAACTTTGGTTTTAAATATAAGATTTTTAGGGAAACATGGCTTTAATTAACTTCCAGAGGATTTACTGGCCCATGAGCTGGTGTGGGCTGTCCTGTTGTAGTAACCCGCTCAGCGTGGCGTTGGGTTTCTACAGGGGGGGATTGACACCTTTAAGCTGCCCAGGTGCGTAGTTGACCTCTCTGGCTGCATTTGTAGAAGACAACTTAATGTGGAAATTATTCTTTCATCTGATGTAGTGTGCCTAAAGCTGGGACAATATTCTTTTATACTGGTTGTGTGGTTACTAAATAGTCCTTAACTATGTAATCTGCTGAGTGGAAAGTGGTAAGAGACAGTAAATGCTCTTATATGAAAGTTGTGTAGTAATTCAACCCCTCTGAGTGCTTGGGATTTATTGTTTTGCTTTGAAGGTGACCTGCAAGTGGAAAAACAGCTCCCTGTTTTTCTTCATATGGAAACCTCTTGCACCCACTTCCCCAGCTATTCCCTATTATCCCAACCCTTAAGAAAAAGGGAAGTTCTTACCACTTCTTATACTGGAAGTGAAATGTCCCGCCAGCAGCAGGTATGAGTCTTGACCCCTGTTTTCTCTGTGTATACGTGACATCCTGAGACTGTATGCACAGGTCGTGCTGCCTGAGCAGGTGCTCGCAGGGGCTCTGAGTCCCCATTCATGGTAGTGCTCAGAGCCCGGCTCAAGAAGGCTTTGACAATTGAATCCAACTTGGATGTCAGCCTGCTCCAAATGGGAGCCTAGACTAGATGGGTCTTTCCATGTTTTGCAGCCACTTAATCATTTTGGGAGAATTTTGAGAACTTCGTTCCCATCAACTGATGAGAACTCAAGCTGCAGTAGTAGAATAGAAGAGACATCTACTGCTTCCATACAGAAAAATGGGGTAATATTTGGTACTTCTGATGGGAAGGATAAAACTCTGTGTGTGGACAAACTTACAGGAGGATTGAGGAAAATATGGTGGAAAAAAAACTTTGTTTGATTTTGGTTTGAGTGTTGGGTGTTTTTTTTTTCCTCCTCCCCATTCTGGCAGTTCAGTTCATTTAAAAAAAGTTTAAGACTAGCAGGCATTGTCTGCCGTCTGTCCCTGCAGGATTTCCTAAAAGAAGGAGAAAAGTTATATGAGAGTAAAGTAATTGATCTTAAAAAAACCCAAACTTTTGTGTCTCAGATCTGGAGTAAGTGTATTTTTCATGCCAGTTTAGTGTTGTAGAAGTGTTTATGTAAAACCGTTTTATATTTTTGGACATCTACCTTGTTTATTTAGGGACTACTTTTCAATTGTAATGAATGTAGGTTACTTATGGAGTGTGTTGGTTATAGGCATCTCATGATTACAGTAGAAGTTTCTGTTGATATACTCAATTTCATCAGCTTTCTTTTACCAGGTTTCTTGCATGTTATAAACAGAAAATCCCATCCTGCATTCCTGTAGATGAATGTTTAGGATGTGTGGCAACTTTATTAAATAGTTTTCAAACTCTCAAGTTCATCTTGACAGTTTCAGTGGTTTTCATTTTCTTAAGCTTTATGCAGTGATGACTTTTAAACCAGAAAGTATGAATCCTGAGTAAGGTTTGCTGGGGGGGGGGTCTCTCGTTAGCTTGGTAGAGTTTGTTATGATGTTTTTGTGTTTGGTGTTTTTTTCCTGTAATTCTATGGGTAAGCTTGTGCAGTGAATGTTGCTGACTGCTTCAGCTTTGTCTGCAATAGTGTGGGTTAATGAAGTTGTCATGGTTTAACCCCAGCCAGCAACTAGGACAACGAAGCCACTTGCTCACCAGGATGGTGAAAGGGGAGCTAGGGACAAGGGGGAGAAAAGCAGGGTGGAAGAAGAAACTCGTGGGTTGAGATAAAGACAGTTTAGTAGAACAGTAACAGAAGAGGGAAAATAATAATGGTAAAAATATACAAAATAAAGTCATACAACACAAGCTGCTCTCACCACCTGATGACTGATTGCCCAGCCTGTCCTGAGCAGTGATCGCAGATTCCTACCCCCCGGCCAACCCCCGTTTATACCCTGAGCATGATGTCCAACAAATAAAACAATATGTGTGATCAACATTATTCTCATACTAAATCCAAAACACAGAAGCTACTAGGAAGAAAATTAACTCTATCCCAGCTGAAACCAGGACAGAAGTGTACTTTTTGCCCTACTGGGGGAGATGAGGTAGCAGTACAGCCTTTACACGGGGGATGGTTAAATTCCCAGCTGTGGACCCGCCTTCTGTGGAAGCTGACATCTCTGTGGGGACAAGGATATGTTTAGTAGGGCTATGAATGAGAAACTGTGTTTTCTGGTAGTGGAAAGCTAAGATTTCACAGTTATTAAGTGACCAGGCTTGGATCACTTCACGAGCATTTAAACATTACTTCCTGATGTCGCATTCAAAGCCTGTATTGAAATATTTGGGTCCTGTTATGCAATGTTGGGATGAGTGTTTCCTTTCCGCTTATTAAAATATTGCATAAATTTCAACACTTCTTACCAGTGGACTGAAGAAATAGATATGACAACAATGGGTGTATTGAAAAGCTTCAAGTTAAGAGGTTTTAGTGGAAAACGAGTTTTATTTGTATCTTAGTATAGAGTTAAACCATTAAAACTTACCTGCAAAATAATTAGGTTTACTACCTTTCAGTATTACAGAAAAGCTCAACCAAAATGCGGTATGCGTTTTTGCCAGACCTCTGTATCCCTTGTGTTAAGATTTCTCTGGAGTGAAGTTTGCGTCAAGCAGACCCAGTTGGCTTCTAGTCTGCAAAGCTGTTAAGTTTAATCTTGTTCCAGTTTAATTTTAATGTCATGGATTGAAATTATATGCATGGCCATTTTTCTTTTTTGCGAAGAGTTGGATTTGGAACGAAAACAAAATGGCTCGAGGACGCAAGAGCAATAGCATCAATCAGAGCGACTTCACTAACAGCACCAATCCTCAGGATTTAGAGAGAAGACTTTTTATCGGCAATTTGCCCACAGACCACATGACTCGTGAAGAAATGCAAGAGATATTTTCAAAATATGGCAAAATCAGGGGTTAGTATATTATCTTATGCCTTTTTGTGGCTGGGAATTCAGTGAGAAGTATAACTTTCATGCTTGTCATATGCTATTTGATGATGATGAGAGGAGTGACTAATGTTCCTAAAAAGTGACCTTTTAATGATAATTTTCTCTATCTGCATTTTCTCTGATTCCTTCAGTACAGCTGAAACATAATGCATATATATCAGCTATGTTTTAGCTTTTGGGGTTGCAGTGTGATGTTACAGTATTCTTCCAAGTGACTTCATAGTCTCTTTAATCAAATCTTGGTCACTTCATGGGCTATATTTTGGTCACTGCCTTGTCAGAAGGAAGTTGATCTACGAAATATATTTCAGAGTCTTTGAGCTCTGCATTTTGATCCTGGTAGATTTGGTTTTCCCAGGAAACTTGCATAGTCATTTCTGGGTAGAGCCCCTTTGCTTGTTCATCTGGTGGGGTTACGTGATGGCCTGGGTGTGGGTTAGTACTGTCCCTTAGTTGTAACCGGTCTTGCCCTGCTGTTAACTTTTCCAGCCCTCAGCATGTACCATGGCTATGGGTTCGTGCAGTATGACCGTCTAGAAGATGTCCAGGCCGCTCTGGACGGTGAGAAGGGTCGCCTTTATAAAGGGTATAGATTAGGTAAGGAAAACTGATCCGTGCTCTCCTACTGACCCCAGCATGCATTCTGGTAGAAAGAGTGCTTTTGTTTTAAAGCTCTCTGGAAAGATCACTATGTGAAACTTGCCTGGCGTTAGTCTAAAAATCACTTTTACTAGGTATGTATTTGCTTTCTGAGTTATTTGCTGTACGTGCTGTGTGGTTCATCTGCAGTGTTTTCTCTTGCTACCTAGGTCTTACTCTGAACTTATTTTTGTGTGTTATTATTTCAAAAGCGCTCTTACCCTGCGTAAGTAACTGTTCAACCTGTAAGCCCTGGAAAGTGGTCATTGAAACCTCATGCACTTCGTTATAAAAAACATTTGTAAACCAGTATTTGGCTTCATCTTGACAGGTTAAGAGGAATTGGTCACAGCACTTAGTGGCTTGTTAGATAAGCAATCTAAACTTGGGGGTTTTTGCACATGTGAAATCAATCTGTAAGTAGTGCTATAAATAGTAGGTGCTTTAAAAAGCTGTTCTCATAAAGATGAAAATAATTCTGCTAAATATGCTGGGAGCAAACTTAAACAGAAATGAATGGTTAGAAATCTAAGAGTAATCTGTTAAATGCAAGTAAAAAAATTACTTTCCAAGTAAGCCTATGCTAGTTTGAAGAAAAACACTTTGACTTAGAAAGGAATGAAAGGATCAAACAACAATAACTTGTGGGAATGTGTGTATACGGTAGCAAATATGAACCTGGAGATGGAAATGGAGGCAAATAGACAAGGAGGGTAGAAAGATACAAGAAGAAATTATGCCAGCATTGTTGAAGTCTAGAAGCTTAAGTAGGAACAGCTGTGGCTGTTTTAGAAGTTAAGGTGTGCTGTCTGGAAATGATAAAATTTCTAACTGGAAAGGACCACCTAGCCTTCAGTTAGTGTTTCTGCTGTCTATTTTTGAAGAGGCGGGAAGTGTTTTTAATATAATTTTCATTTCAATAGCAAACTAAAAAAGGTAAAACAGCACCAAAACTACACCTCTCCAAAAAATAAAATCTAACATCTATGAGGCCCAGTGAAGTGAAGAGCTGTCTAGGCTATTAATGCTGTTTTTCCACAAGCCTTGGAAAACTAGGGAGTTTCCAGGGACCTAGCAGAGTGCTGCAGATGTGCCAGTAGGCAGCATAAATGGGATAAGCCTGGCATCGGCCCCAATAACAAAGGGATTCTTTCACCTGACTCTCGATGATAAGTGAATTAATTAATGCCAATCAAAATAAATCCCGTCAAACTAACTTATGATACGGCAAGTTTTATGGCTGAAAGTAGCAGTGTTGATGTAAAAGACTTCTGTAAGGCGTTTTATTTGTTTCAGAAACTAGAACAATTAAAACCAACAGAGGGTTAAATGGATTTCAAATTAATCTCAGTGTAACGTAGATGGAATTGCTCAGTGCTTTGAGTGGTGTTCTGGAAAAATTGATTCCTGGCCATACAGCGCTTTTATAAGCGACTTGGAAAGAAAACACACAATCATGTTTTAAAAAGAGAATGAAATAATGAAGATTGAGTTGCTGATGGCGAAATGACTTGGACTTCTTCCTAAGCTGGATGCAGGCAGAACTGAGCTCTAAGTAAAGCCAAAAGGGAAGATCTGCACCCAGCAAGAGTGATTTTTGTCATCCTTAGCTGTACAAAACAGATTTGTAAGTAGGCAGGTTTTGGTACCTGTGGGTTTCTGCTGCTGGAATACTGTGTTCAGTTCTGGTATGCCTGGTTCAAAAAGGATAATGCTAAATTGGAGAAGCCTCAGAAAAATCTGAAGAAGGCTTAAAGAGTTGAAGAACAAGCCCTAGCAAAAGCCTCAAGGTATAGGGGTGATGTGATCTGTGTGTTACAGACAGACCTGAAGATAAGTGAATTTTAATCTAGTAGGCATAGGCATGACAAGTCCTTAAATGGAAATAAATAGTTTTCTCTAACAGCAAAGTAATTTGTTCCTGGAATAACTTATTGGAGCTTTGGTGGTTCCTGTGCTCTGCAGACTTTTAAATTGGAATTGGATGTTTTGCTAAAAGATAAGCTCTAGTTCAATGCCACTGCTGCACTTGAGATAGGAACGTGATTCAAGAAACTCTTGTCAGCTGTGTTTATTCAGAAGGTTGCACTGTATGGTTACAGTGGCCCTGTCATCACAAAATCCTACAGGACAGAAGACTAATTTTTTTTTTCTTGGAAGTTTTGTCAATGTTCAAATGCTTAACCTGTAAATGCTGTTGGCATTAAATAAAATGTTATTAAATCTGTTCGTTTTGCACAATAGAAGGATCCCTGTCAAAGGTGTTTTTTCTTCCAGTAAAATATTTTTGTTCAGTTTTAAGTACTTTTTTTTTTTTTATTTGAAAGAAATGTATGGTATTGAGTGTAAAAACAATAGGTTTCTGCAATGGCATCTTAAAACAGAAAATAAAAATAATCTTAAACCAAAGAAAGCAGATAGTGTCTTGCTTAAAGATAACACTTGACTTTAAGGCGGTGGGGGGAACCTCTCATCTGAAAAATAAATGCAAGGAGAACAGTTGCTTCAGTTATGCAGTCTGAGTATTAAATATAATTGCTAATAACACAATAAGGTAAAAGGCTTTGAGAGAGTTTAACGTTCAGTCTTGCATTATACTAATACTTCCACAAATGCATAGAAGTGTTTTCATATCTTTTAATGAATAAAACTATGTAGGGAAGAAACGTCCATCAAATTTACTTTGTGACAGTAGACAATGCAGCTGTATTTGATCTGGGAGAGACTGCTTTGTGGTCCTGTGAATGTTGTTATGCTGCATTTATAGTTAATGTTCGGATTGCACTTGCCTCTCCCCTGCCCCCCAAAAGATGGCGTGCTGCTTCTTGATTGACAACAAGAGCAAAAATTAGAACTAATCTCTTAATTCTAATTTTAATCTTGAAAGTGATGAATGATAGCTTGGGAAGTTACGGAAGATGTTAAGACAGAGTCTGCCTAAAGACATTGTGGCACATTTAGTCACTTGCAAGGGCTTTGAAGGTAGTTAACGTAAATAATTAATAAGAAATTTTAATTGTTGATAGATTCTCAGGGAGCAGATAGGCCCTAGGTTTGTTTTGTTCTTTTCCTTAAAAGGTTCTTGGAGTAAAAGATGTGAGGTCATTTCTGTTTGTTCTTGCCCCCCTCCTGTACATTATTTCATCTTCAGTCAGCTGTTACGGAAGGCTTTGTTTCTTCACAGTAGAACAATATGGGTCCTTGCCAGTTCTGGGCAACTTCACTTTTTCTGGTTGAGAACAAGACTCTTTCTTCAGCTCTTGCTTCTTTGTATTTCATTTCATGGTGTTTTTCCTGGAGATGCTCAGAAGCCAACCAATTTTCAAATTTCTGACCTGTTGCATCAGTTCGCATCACGTTAACAGCGGTGTTTTGAATGCACCATGTTGACTTCATAAGGAGCTTGTGCTTCATGCTCCTTGGATCCCATTTCCTCACTGGTGGAGGCTGTACAACTTAACGCTGCAGCAGTCCCTTGGAAGGCAATTGCATGTGCCACTTGAGAACCCTTGGGTTATTTTCAACAAGGGTAGCGGCATGCTCCATTGAACAGGACTGGCTGTGAACGTAAGACTGTGCTGGCCATCAGCTTCCTTTCTTGGAGATTTTAAGACTCTGATTTTTCTCCTGCAGTCCATGAGTCGCTTTCTGCTCACTCGTAGACTGCAGAAGAAAGAGGTTCTCTTATGGAGTGAAAAGTCTGGATGTAGGCCTGAATGTAAAGGGTTAAAACTTCACCCAAGCTGTCCACCCTATTTTGAAGTCAGAGAAATCATGAAAAACTCGTTATGTTGTACTACCTAAACTTAATAAAATATTGTCAAAGTGACAATGTCTCTCTGCTGAATGGATTTTCTTGCACCATCTGGATGTTGTTGAGCTTAAGTTGCTTTCATTTGAATTGTGCTGATGATCTTTTTTTTGTTCCATAGCATTGAACAGATGGGTTGATTATTCTTTACAGATATTAAAAAAGCAGTGGAAAGAAGAAATATGAATAAGGCTTCATCAAGGTCCAGTCCGGCACGAAGGTAAAGTACCTGGAAGCAGTGAGTTATACTAGGAAGGTCAGGCTTTTAGGGCGTGAGCCCAGCGGCCTGTGCTAAATGTCTGTGTCTCTTCCCTACCACCACCTCCCCAGTCAAACGGAGATACTCAAGCGAGACAGTCGGGACATGGCCGCTCCACCTCTAAGAGCCCTTCTGGCGCTAACACCTCAGGAGGCATGAGGGAAACCTCGTGTCTGCTGCTGTTACTACAGCTAAGTGTCGTGTTTTGCAGCACAGGTTGTAAAAGACTTGTGAGGAAGAATACGCTTGATGTTTTCTCCTGCCTCAAGTATCAGAGAAGCCGAGGCATGTCTAGAGAACGCCGAGGGGCTGTAGCATTCCCAGTGCCATGCTGCAGAGGACTTTGGGATCTTGCATCTTCTGATGTCAAAAACTTCCAGTGCTGAAACGAGACTGGAAAAGAGTGCATGAGCGAAGCACAAGATAGAGCAAACATCTCTTGCACTGTCCCATCCGCACGTGTGCTTGCGTTGTCAGTCCCCTCTGTGCAGTTATGGATGTATACCTACCTGCCAGCTTCTGGTTTCCCACCCCTCAGTGTGCACAGCGTGTGCAGCTCCTGCATTTCCTCTGTGTTTGAAGTCACTGGCAACTGGAGAAGACATGGACTGGCCTGTCACAGGAAGATTACTTCAGTTTCCTTTCCATGGCATTTACTAGGGAGCACATGAAGACGTGCTGTGGTTACACAGCACAGTTTGGTGTAAGGCATGCATCTTCTATGCCTATACTGTAAAGCTCTCAACACAGAGGAGTGTTGCATGTTGGACTTGAAGGTAATCAAACTCTCGCAGGTCTGGTGTGCTCTACTAACTTGACCTGTTAAATTGCCAAAAATGGGGAAAAAGTGCAAATAGCAAGACACCTACTACCAAAAAACAGAGAATAAGCAGCTGCAATCCTTGGTATCATCTAGATCTTTTGTATGTGTTGCACTTAACCTGCACAGGGCCAAATGTGCTTGCAGAGATCAGCATGTGGGCATAGCCCAGGAAGTGCTTTGGCACGCAGCTGGGCGTTTCCATTACAGATGTGGCAAGCCTTGGGCCTGGGCGGTGTCAGGTGTGCACAGTGCTGCCGTGAGACCCCAAGAATACTCCAAGTACATGAGCAGCAGGCACTGATGGCATGTCTTTGGCCTCAGTGGCACTGCAGGTGTGTAACAGTGAAGGTGCCAGGCAGCACTGCGGCTGTGAGAGGCAGATGCCTATACCATCACTGTTGGTCCTTGGACCACATTGCAGAGGGACAAGCAGCAGGCACTGATGCCACGGGCATTGGGACCTGTGTCATTCTCCATGTATGCAAGAGCAGATGCCAATGTCACGGGCCCTAAGGAGCACTGGAGGTTCATGAGCCATGGGCAGTGGTGCTGTGGGCACTGGGCCATGGACTGGACTACTGCCACGGCTGCCGAAGGCTTTGGTGCCACTACGACAGGCACTGGATTCCAGCTGACACTGCAGACACACCGCTGGCCCATGTTGCTGGTCCCAAGCAGCCCTGTGGGCACAGGTGGCAATAAGGTCACGGGCATCGAGTCCTGGGCATGGCCGCGGATGATGGACTCTGGACCACGCTGCAGGTGTGTGAACGGCAGCTGCTGATGCTGGGGTGCAGAGTCCCGTGCTGCGCTGCAGGTGGCGGTGCTGGGCCAGCGGTACCGAGTCCCGAGCAGATGCGGTCAGCGGGGCTGTTGTCGCAGGAGTTGGACCATGGTAACAGAGGCACGGAAGAAGGCCACTCTGCCTTCATGGTGCTGCCTCTCCGCAAGCAGCAGGACAGCGATGCAGGTGCAAGAGCAGAGGGGACCTGCGCCACGTCTGTACTCCTGTTGCAGTTGTGCGTTGTTCATTCTGGATCTTTTTGTCTCTGCGGATAATGAATATGGCCTGTTCTGGGCACCCCCTCGCCAGCTGGAATAAATGTCATATGCCAAACAATTACACTGCATCTGGCTCTTTTGCTATATAGTCTTACAACTACAGAAAGATCAGTTACTCAATATCCATTAGAGCAAATCAGAAGTTTCCCCTGAGCTTCTGCCATCATTCATTGTAGGTTGGGAGGGAAGTGGGCGATGATGTGTATCTCTCATGGGATGTGGTTTCAATACAGACCACAAACAAGTAGATTTGTGTGTCCAAGAGGCTGAGGGTGTTTACACTTGTGTGCAAATACAATGTTTCTTTTACAGGAGGGGACTATATATGCTCTTAGTGGTAACACCATAGTTTGCCCCAAGATCAGTTTTGTATCTGACATAAGACTAGAGAATGCCAGCGTTCCTGTGTATGTCCCTGCACAGCTGAGTGTCTAACCACCAAAGTCCACGCACAAACTCTGCACATCCATCTTGTACTGTCTGCTCTACCTGACACTGAACTTGGGCACATCTGACTCGCTGCTCCTGCAGTTCTGTCCAGGTGACTGCTACATGAATGCTCTGGAATGGAAGCAGACTTATGTTCTGCTTGCCTTTCATAAACTGGATTAGGCTGGTAGAGGACTCTCAAAGTCTGTCAAGTTTTGGAAATAAAAAGATTCAAAAAGCTGGGGTTTTTTTTTCTGATGTTTGTCAGTATCTTGGGGAAAGAGCATTCCAAACACGTAAAGCTCAGTAGCTTCTCTGCAAGACTTTTTTATGTTTGGCTTAGACTACAGTGAAGTTATGTTTTTTTCCTGGAAAAAAAAAATATAACCTGGAAAAACCCCTGCTGTTTTGGGAAGAGATGAAGACTGGAACATTATTATTCCTTGCCTCCGAAGACAGTGCAGTACAAAGTCTGAATGAGATGGATCATTCAGATGTGACAGAGACGCCTGTTGCTGCTGAGGATGCCGTGCTGGTTGGGTTTAGTACCCTCTTAACGTGGGGCATCGTAAACATAAGAATGGCTTTCTATGGAAACTATCCCTTCAAATCCAGGACACGGCGGTAGCTATCATTGCTCTCTGCTAGCAGCACAAAACCAACCACACCATGGAACCTCCAGTGTCTTTGGTCACAACAAGCTCCTTTTTTAATTATATGCCAATAACAGGTGTTCTGCTGTCATTGGTGAATTTAATGGATCCCTTGAATGCTCCTGGCTGTTGCATATTTCTGGGTATTAGGCATCAACACCTTGAATTCTCTCAAAGAATTTGCAAAAATATGTTTGGTAGATGATCTGTGGCTAACGTTGGAGGCCAGAGGCCTTGAAATGGTGGTTTCTGAGGTGCCTGTTCACTTCTTCCACAGGTGCTCTACACTTTTAATGATGCTTCATTAAGGAGCTTTCTGGGTCTTGTTTGGCTATGATAAACATTAGAATTAAGAAGGTTTCCCGGGCTGCTTCAACAAATATGTTTTTTGGGCAATTCTTACTGTTGTGGGATAGGAGGGAGGATTCAGCTCCTGAGAGAAGGGTCGCTTTGGCACCTCAGGTAAGAGATATAGGGGTGACAGTACTCGTGTCATTAGCAGTCTAATGGAGTTTCCCTGCTGTTTTCCTCAGAGAGCCATATGCCTATGGGGATGGCCGAGATGCCAGACGCGACCGCTCCCCTCTTCGGGGGAGCCCACGGAGAGACCCCAGAGATGGCAGGGATGGTAGAAACGGGCGAGATTCCAGAGACACTCGAGACATTCGAGCTAGAGACATGCGTGATGCCAGAGACCACAGGGACCGACGGGACATGCGAGACCCACGGGATATCAGGGATCCAAGAGACTTGCGGGACCCTCGTGATGTTAGAGATCTTCGCGACCCACGGGAGCCGCTGTATGATCGATACAGGGATCCACGGGATATGAGGGATCCACGGGATATGAGGGATCCACGAGATATGAGAGACCCTCGGGACCCTTTGTACAGGTAATTTCTGCAGGATTGTATTTGCCAATGCGTTTTTATGGTGATCCTGCCTCAATGGCTGCACTGGTTTCAGTAGTGTCAGGCATTTAAGATATGGAAATTGTTCTGACTGTTGGCAGCTGGGTGTCTGCTTCGTGTCTTGTGGGGAGGAGGTCGGTACTTCAGAAATTAAATTTGAGGAAGGTCTGCATGTGATGCATTGGCCAAAGTTACTGCCTGAGATTGTGCTGGAGCATGGAAACCTTTGCTGCTTCTGTAAATCTTGCAGACGAGATGAAGCTTATGACCGTTACCTTCACCTTGACGACTACTGTCGGCGGAAGGATGACTCTTACTACGACCGTTACAAAGAGCATTTTGATAGAGCGCCAGTGAATTCAGAAGGTGAGTACCTGTAACATTATAACGGGCAGATTCACATTCTGTGTCTGGGAGGATGCAGGAGATGCCTGCAGTGCCGAATGCGTTACATTCTTGGTACTGGATGGTTCAGAGATTTAGACAGACTGGTGTGTGCACCACATTGCTCCGAGCAGGTCCAAAGGGCATTCCTTGTTCTATCCCTGTGGCTTGCTTTCAGACCGTCTGAAGCGTGAGGAACGGCGCCGAGAGGAGCTGTACCGTCAGTACTACGAGGAAATCAAGAGACGTTTTGATGCAGAGAGACCTGTGGATTGTTCTGTGATAGTGGTGAATAAACAGACAAAGTAAGAAAATAATTACGACCAATTTTATTATTGCATGGTAGAAAAAAACAGAATTAAACTTAGTCCTGCCTTGAGGCTGTGTGTCTTACAGGTTGCTGTTGAGGAGGGTCCGAAAGCGACAGCTTCTGTTGCTGTTCTGGGAATATATGTTGCTTAGATGGAGAAATGTTGTATCTTGTGCTTTACTTTTATTTCCTTTTTGTCACCTATCACTATACCTTCTCCTGATACTTTTCTACCTACTCTTCCTATCAGCCTACTGCCACAACAGGTTATAGTGGCCTGTGCTTGTTATTCATGGGTTGACTGATGCGGAACTTATTAATGTGTGCCAACCAGCAGATAGTACAGAGCAGTTGCCAGGGTGGAGTCATGGGGCTGTTTGTTTCGGAGCTCCTGTCAGATTGGTTACTAGGTCAGATACCAGTCAGCACCGTTCATCCAACGTGCAAGAAGTATAAAATCACTGCTGAAAGTAGTCGTGAAGGTTATCAAAAGCGTGTGAAAGTAGTAACCAGCGCAATCTCATGTGGCAATCTGAACACTTACTGAGGTGTCCCCACTCACAGTGTGTCTTTTTATTCTGCTAAATGCAAGACTGTTTATCTAGAAACAAAAATGCAGGCAATCCCTCTAGAACAGCATGCTTTCTCTTGGAATGTAAGGACTTAAAACAACTTTAGGAGTCAAAGGGACTTGTGTCAAAAATGTTAGAATGTCCTTATTTTGGAGAGTGGGTGCTGTGGTAGGAACAGAGGGGTACACCTGTGCCTGGTACAGTGAGAGGGGGGCTGTGACAATGACACTAGTCTGATGTCTACGTCTTTACAAATATATGTAGTGAAGAACGGCAAAGATGTAAATAAATCATAGATCTGGCTTGGGGTCTGAAGAAAATGTTTGTCAAAGGGTAATCTAAAGCTCTCTCTCCTTAGCCCTTTGGAAAAAAAGATCAAGAGTTGCTTTTATTTAACTTTGCTGTATCTGTGAGGCAGAAGAGGAGAGCTGGCACTTGCCTGACCTAGTGGTAGAAGACAAAACAGGAAATCGGAACAAGGGAAACAGTGAAACTAGAAATAAAATTCTGTGGTTTGCTTTTAACGGAGTTGATTACCTGTTGAACAAATCTTGAAAGGAAATTTTAGATTCTTTATCCCTTGGTGACAAGAAGTCTTTGGAAGATATTCTAATAGACCACAGGTTATTATACTTGATACAGGGAGAATTTTTTTGTGCAGTAGCATCAACTTAATACCCTAAGGATTGTTTTGGTCTGTAACGTCTACAAACCTTAAGAGCTGGAGCGTGTTAATAAATCTTGGATATTGAAGCATTGATGTCACCTACTATAGACCTGTTGAAAGATGGCTCCTGAATAACTTAGATACAATTGGTGTAACTTAGAAATCCTTAAAAAGACAGCGGGGGGGAACAATTTTAGTCACCATTACAATGTTTGCATTCAAAGATGAAAAACTGAACCTCTTTCAAAAGGTGGGGGTGCATGCAGACTAGATTTCTCAGAATGCTGATACAGTCAGTATTGCAGTTTTGGTACTGAGTATAGTAAAGTTAAAAAAAAAAAAAGACTTGAAAACTTTAAGCTCAGGCGTGTGAGCTATGGTTTGTGTTTGGAATGGGAAGTCTGCAGGACAGTGGATACAGGAACAGTGGATCCATAGATGCAGTGTTGATACTGGGTTAGAGCAGAAAGCAGCTAATAGAACAAAAGAGCAAGAGAAAATGTATTTGGAACTCAAGGGAATGTTGTGGATGGGTAGCTCTCCTCTGAAAATTAATCTTCAAGTCCAGAAGCTGGGCTGTGCTACGGTGAATTAGGATAAGGCATATTTGAACAGTTAAGATACTGAATGTAGCGCAAGTAACTGAATTCTGTAGGTTAGCTGCTCTGCCGTGTACCCCTTAGATCTCTGCGGGCATAAATTACCTCACTTAATGAGTTCAGTTTAAACACATTTATATGTAAACAAATTTATAATAGTGTAAATCCCTTTGCAAACACTCTGTTTCTCAGCTAAGCTGAGGCTTGATTTGTAATCTAATTCAGTTAAACTGAAATGACTGATTCAGACCAAACTAAGGGTAGGATATGGGCGTTTATATTATTGTAATGAGATTCCTTTAATACTGTCCTGTTAAACATTACGAAGTTTGGCAAGTTGTCAGAAAAGCGAATCTGAGATGACGGAGAGGGTAAATGTGCCAGGGTTTCTGTTTCTGTATGCGACTGACTTGTTAAACTCTGCTGGCTTTGCTTTGTGGTAGGGAGTACGCGGAGTCAGTGGGGCGGAAGGTGCGGGATCTGGGCATGGTAGTGGACCTGATCTTCCTCAACACAGAGATGTCACTGACGCAAGCCCTGGACGATGTGAGCAGAGGAGGGTCTCCTTTTGCCATTGTCATCACCCAGCAGCATCAAGTTCACCGCTCTTGCACTGTTAACATCATGTTTGGCACCCCGCAAGGTACTGAGGTCTCAATAGGCTGTGTAGCTCTGTGGTCACCTGAACCACTCAAAGCGCTGCTTTAGAACACTTTCTTTCAAGCAGAATCACACAGGACAAAGTTCATCCTTGTTGTGACATAAGTAGTTATTAATGACTTGACACCATGTCATAAATGTGAATATCATTATTTACAAGTTTCCATAATACTTTATTTGTCCCGTGTCAAAAGGACTGTCTAATTTCTGCCGAGAGAGAATCTCGGCTGCGTTCTTAGCACCTATTATAACCAGGCTTTGCATTTTAGGGCAGGTCATGAACCCCAGCTCTAGGAATGACTGCATTGCCTTGATAGATTTCTGAGAAATACCAGTCCAACCTCAGTTTATCACATGTTTAAAATGTGACAAATTACAGGACAGATTTTAAAACTAAATGTGATTTAAGGAAAACAGGGTAAGGGTAGCGTATTCGGTCAAGGTAAAGATCTGGTCATGAAACTGGGAAGAGTTATAAAAAGATACAGCTATAAAGTGTATAAGTGTATATGCTCCACCATTTTAGCGCCATTTACACTTGTCGCATCACTTTCCGTCTCAGGGTGTGACTTAGTTATTGTGAGCATGAGGGTGGGTGTAGGCATTAAAAAAAGGTCTTGTCAGAATGTGATCTCAGAAAGCAGCTTTTTGCTCCGATCAGGTTGTTTTTTCCTTACTGTGTTCTCAACTAATGTTTTGTGAGGTTCGTCTAGGAGAGTAAACTGCTGAATGCATAGTCACTGGTTTTTGCGTGCTTACTGTCTGAAGAAGCCCAATTTCCTTTGACATCAGATGCAGATGTGATAGGAGGGTTCTCCCATCTCCTGCACAAATACAGCTCACGCACACTTTCACTGGGCTTTCCACAGCCCTTAGTTTTAACGCCTTGGATTTAACAGCCATCCTCCCTCCAAAGCTTCTCTTCATCTTTATTGGATCTAACGGCGTATCAGATCTGATAAAGACACCAGTCATTAGCTGATCCACAGCTCTTTCTAGAAATTAAATACGCTCACTTGAACTGCACGTGGCCATTCACATTAGTTTCAGGGAACTCTTTCACAACTTGTGCAACACGTAATGTTAAAATGAACGCCGGTTTCCTCTTACAAGGAAGAGGGTGGCAGGATTTGATTATCTGCAGGTGTGAAAAGTGCCCGGCACTTTGGGCACTTTTTGGAAAGTAAAGGCCTTCTCTTTTGATGTCCCTGCTTAAATCTGTGTTCAGGAAACTTGAAAAGGCATGTGCAAAAAAAAAAGTTGGAATAGACCGTTATTCATTGTATTACAGAAGAACTTGATTACTGCTTATTGCCCCAGAGTAGCAAACATAAGCAGCAATGTGACTTTGAGCCGGTGCTTCTTTCCTCCCCATCTCCTGCATGCGCACACACTATGTTAAGGCATTGGCAGTACAGAACCAAAAAGTATTCCCATCTCTGTCCTGCTCTGGGAAGCTTTAGCAGCCTTCAGAGGGTAAGTTTTGGATCTGTCCAAGGCTTTAGCAGTAGAATGGCTGGAACTGTCCCCTCTTGGAGCACAGAGAATTTATGTGAGAGGTAGAGGGAGCTGCTTTACCTTTTAATTGGGTGAGAGGCAAGAAAGACATTTCTTGGGCTGATACGCTATCTTCTCAGAGCCCTCAGCTATGGAAGAAAAGAATGGCCTTGCTGGGTGATAGCCTTGAGCCTTCTGTTGGCTTAGGAAGTTGAACTGTTACTGTGTGCCTAGGAAGCTTTCCAAGCCTACGCTTGCAATCCCAAAGCGGTGCCTGCCTGCTGAATGAGATGTGCTGGTGTGCGTGAGGCAAGGCACCTCCTGTTAACATCGCTTTGGTTTACTTAAAATGTTTCTTTTCCTTGTGCAGAACACCGCAACATGCCCCAGGCTGATGCCATGGTGCTGGTGGCAAGGAATTACGAGCGCTACAAAACAGAGTCACGGGAGAAGGAGCGCGAGGAAATCGCCCGGCAGGCTGCCAAGATGGCAGACGAAGCTGTTCTGCAGGAGCGGGAGCGCCCACCCCCCATGGAGGAGGGTGTCAGAGGAGGTCACCCTCCAGGGATTCAGACTCTCTTGAACCTGCTGGCAGACAATCGCTATCTAACTGCTGAGGAGACTGATAAAGTAATTAATTACTTGAGAGACCGGAAGGAACGGTTACTGAGGGGAAGCTCTGACTCCCTGCAGGGTAAGTTTCTCGGCCCCAGACGAGGCTATTAATCATGTGGTTTGTGGGCCCTCTGAGCTGGGACCCTAAAACAGTCCTGGGACTGCAGCAGAGTCCTACCATCTTAACTTCCTCACACAGCGTCTCATTTCATTGAGATGGACCTGTCCTTGGGAGTCCTGAGATGACTCAGATCTTTCCTGTGAAAGAATGTTTATATTGGATTCTCTCAGGGAAACCACAGGACTTCCCTAACTAGTTTGGCTGCTACACGAAGGGCAGTAGTTCTGCGGGATGGTTTGGGTTCCCCTGAGCTGGGCAGCTCTGCTGTTCAGAGGGTGGGTGTTCATTGTTGCTTGTGTCTTTGGTAGCTGTTTCACTAATTTTCTTTAGGTCCCCCTTCAAGGGCATTTGCGTAGCTTTAACCCTCTTTCCTTTCTTTCCCAGCACCTATGTCAAGACAGTCTTTGGGGGCACCTTCATCATCATCTCTGGGTAGTCAGTCCAGCCTTCCAAGTTCTCAGGCTCATCAGGGTTCACAGCCTCTGGTCTCTGCTCCTTCTGTTCCAGTGTCCTCTTCTAATCCTCAGCAGGAGCTTCAAGCAAAAATCCTCAGTCTCTTCAACAGCGGGGCAGCAGCGGCAGCAGCTGCTGTAGCAAACAGCAGTTCTGCAGCCTCTGCAGGCACTTCAGGTGGCACTCCAAACCAGAACTTTGCTAACATGGCCAGCGGTCAGGCCCGGTCAGCACCGATGAGTGCTGGAAATTTAAACCAGGCTCAGCAGAGATTGCAGACTCCAAGCACGCAGCTTCCTGCCCTCCAAGGCCCTTCAAGAAATGCAGGTCCAAGACCTGGAGCTCCTCCACAAGCTCAGTCGCTCTATGGTCAGCACCAAAATCGCCTCCCTGCGCCTGGCAATGTACCTGCTCAAAGGCCAGTATCTTCTGGTATCAACTTTGACAACCCTAGTGTACAGAAAGCCTTGGACACCCTTATCCAGAGCGGTCCTGCACTCTCCCACCTAGTGAGCCAAACCGTGGCCCAGGGGCGAGCAGGCTCCTCAGCCCAGCAACCTATGGGTTCCTACCAGCGACACTATTAAAGCTGAGCTGTCAGGCCCTTTCCCTTTCCCTCTGCCATTCCATACTTATAGCTGTTTAAAGAGTCTCCTATCCTTGACGTGGGACAAATGCCCCTGGATATGCATGTCCTCTCCACTTTGGCGAGAGTGTACCCCCAGTGGCATTGCTGCTGACTGTTGCTAGTGCTGCCCTTCCTCACCTTGGTCTGGTTAGCAGTGTTTGGAGAAGTATGCTATATTTTCTCAGCGGCACAATGTGCTGAGAGCCGCTTTGGATAATCGGTTGTTATGTCCAGTCCCAGAAGCTGCTGCAGTGACAGTCCTTCTCAATTTTCCTCACTCCCAGTAACTGGTGCATCTTCACATTGCGGTGCAGTCTGGTCTCGCTGAATGGTCTTAGTATAGTTTTGGGTCAGTGGTTTTGAGGAAATAGGGGACTGAACAGAGCGGTATGCTGGCTGGGCCTTCTTGGAGACCCACCTTTTTGGAATGGGCACTATTTTTCTTTGGGTTTCTTTTTTTTTTATTTCTTCTTTTAAATGGCATATAAGCCAGTTGGAAAGTACAGTGGTAGCACTAGCAGCTGAACTCATGAAGCACATGCCTGACCACTACTCAATAACCCAGGACCGTGCCGTTCGGTCCTTCTGTAGCTGGACTGTCATGTCCTGGCAGAGTGAGGCAGAGAAATGTTCCTCACCTCACCCAGCTCATGGAAACTGGCAGCTTTGGTCTGAGCACCGTGGCAGATCTGAAACACAAGAGCTTCCAGCCAAGGCAGAGATTTCAAATGGTCTGTCAATTTTCCTACACCAAGTAGTCAGCATTAAGATCAATCTGTTAAATTTGGCATATAAATTTCCTTTTCTTATAATCTTGCTTTGGGACGGTTGGTTACAATAGCCCAACAGCTCAGCCGCAGCCACGCTGATGTGCTGCTGGCCCTCCCTTGGGAATACCTGCAGCCAGTTACCAGGTGGTGGAAGTCTGCTCTCTGAAACTTCACCTCATCGTTGATGGGTGATTTGTCCATCTAAGGTGGAGAGGCAGTGCCAAGACGCAATACCATAGTTTTATACGTTTTTCTCAACACTTTGGTAGCTGCAGTGGGCATTTGAGTGGAAAATCAGGCAGTAATTCTTCACCATGTTTTTAACCAGTAACATACTTTGATACCAGAACACAAAACATCTCTTAACTCTGTGGTCCTCCCCATCACGGCCTTCTTAGAGTCTGTAGGCTTCCTGCAGAGAACCGAAAGAAACTGAGAAAGCAGTGTTCTCGGAGCAGAGGATTTTCTTTGTCCCAGGTGGTTTGTGTTGTAGCATTTTTTTTTCTCTGTGCTGTTAACAAGAGGACATTACTTTTTAATAAAAAGGCAGGAAAAACGTTTTGTTGCATTTTTGACACTTGACAGCTTGAGTACTACTGGAATACATTATTCCGCTGCGTTTGCCATTACTCTCTTCTTCCAGATAAGCTCTGTCAGACACTGCTCTGCGCTGGACGCTAAGCGGAAAGCGTACGAACCTTACTGTGACAATATTGTAGTTGGTCTCAGTTTATAACACTTTGGTTTTGAAGTACCTCAGAGGTCCTTGTTCTCGCACAGTGGACTCAGATGATCTCAGGCAGAGCAGCTCACATGCCCGTTGAGGGACCCGTGCACGGGAGCAGTGTGTGGCATGGGCCAGCGTGAGAGGTCCGAAGCCTCTCCGGGTGCTGATGGTGGGAAGGGAGGGTGTGCGCTCGGGCCAGCAACGAGCTGGTCCGGTGTTCGTGCTTAGTTGCTGCTAATTGTACAGCTGCTGCGTGAAGTTAGGGCTACAAGTCCCTGTGCATTTAGCACTGGCCTTCCTTGACTTGGTGCTGCCGTTACTACACAACCTGAAATTGGATGGAAGTATGTCTGTCTTCCACCTTTCCTCCTCCAGTCTGTTTTTGTTCGATCCCTTTCTCTGTCTCTACAACCCCACAGACAGGTGAAGCATCTTTGCTGGGGTGATCAGAAATTTGCGTGAGCTTAAACATGGGAACTGTGGCACTTGGGAGAGGCTGTTCCTCTCCTGTTGTTTTGCTGCCTCTGCCATCTGCTGCTCCCTGTCGGGGCTTGCTCCTTGTTATGGAAATGGTAGCAGCCAAGTGTAAAATAGCTGTGGAGACCCTGGAAGCAAGTGAAAAATCCCCGTGCAAGTAGTGAAGGGTGTAATAAAATCATTTATTGCATTTTGTGCAGACAGGAGTCTAGAAAAATGAATACAGTTAAAGCAGTAAAGCATTAACAGGGAGCATTCAACAGCCGAGGAGCCACTCCTCCATTAATACCTGCACAGAGAACACAGGGTCTGTACTGAGGTGGCCTAATGCACAATACTGAAACACTCACAGAAATTAAATGCAAGCCTAATACTCTTTTTTTTTTTTTTTTTGGTTTGCAACCTGTTTTATTTACAAGGTTTTAAACTTAATTGCATTGCTCTGCACACAGATTCTCTAAAACACAAAGCATACTAGGTCACTACATGTCTATTGAAATATTGCACTCGAATAAAAGTCACTTGAATGGACGTAGAACACCTAGCTACAGTGATTAAAAGATTATTGAATGAACTGACTTTGTGATAACATTCATAACAAATATATTGCACATGTAGCACAGAAAAGTGGTGTAACCAGCAAATCTCAGACCTTTTGGTCTTTTCTGCTAGTTTTTAGTCCTGCTACACAGAGGAGGGTCTTGACTCTTCTAGTGCAACTCTTACCCTTGTGCAGTATCTAGTCCTTCCTCTCGTCCAGCCACGGACCACCACCCACCCAGGCTGGACGCTGCCTGCGCCTCCTGCAAGTGCTGTCTTGTGGCC